GCTTCGCCTAATTCCTCTGCCGGTTGACTGGCCATAGTATAGAACGCTCCCCCATATATTTAGTGTAATTAGAGAGATTCCACGTGGCCACATTAAGGCCCGACCTACGTCTGCTCGGGAAGTCTTCTGCTCATGGGCCCCAGAGGATTGGATCCTTTAAGGGAGCAGCCGTAGGCCGTAACTAACTGGTAGCAGAGCGCGGTTCCGGGTTCGATTCCCCGGTCGATCCCGACCATAGTGTTTGATAAACATTAAACAATTCTGGTGGCAGGGAGCGTTGGTTTGATTGGTTTAATTTGTGTCTACAATCACGCCCGTCCGTAATACGTAAAAATATATTTTTGTACGTAATAATAAAATTATTTCCCTTTGTTGTTTGTTGCTTGCCTTTTTTTTGGTTAGTAGGTAGTTTGAAAAGCCGCGCCCTAGGTTGCGCAAGCGGGAGTTTTTCTAGAGATATACGTCATGTAGATAGATGGTTATTTTTACGTAATCGGTTAATTATCGTTGTCGGATAGTTATAGTGGATTACTTATCAAAGGGTCGATTTCCGAGCTAGGCATTTTTTGTTGATCGACCGTGATGTGTATCTTCGTTTATACTGTAATTTGTAACTAAAGAGTAGTAATTGTATTGCGCAATTTGAATTTAACTTAATTTGATCGCACTAGTATTTGTTATTTGTCAATTTGATTTGTGTCTTTTCTTTTGTGCTAACTTGTATTTGGTTGATACGTAGTAATTCGTATTTGTGTAATTTCTATTCAACGCGATTTGATAGGAACTGCATTTATTAACTGTTAATTTTTGTTGTATTTCTTGTTTGTTATCTTTGTAATTTGTGCTCGAGCCGCGTCGTAATTTGTATTTAATAGTGATGACATCGCCCAAGCTACTGATCCGTTGTCTGCGGACTGAGTTGCGCTGGGCCACAAGCGCCCATGCTTTGATAGGTCGACCGGATAGGGTCCATAACTTGATGAAGCGGTTCGAGCAGGTGGATGCTCGAAGGGCCGCAGTGGAGGAGGCTTACGCTGAGCTCGAGGATTCGGATGTGGAGAAGGGAGTCCTGGACTCCTGCTTCGCGGACTATGAGCAGTTCTTGTGGCTCACGGACGAGTTGATCGAGGCTGAAGGCAGGTATGCCGAGGAGGCGCGTGAAGCTCGGATGAGTGACCTGTCCGATTCCTCTCTGAAGCAGCTTCAGCCGGAGCTGTTGGGACGACTCCCAACTCTGGACCTGCCAAAGTTCTCCGGGGTCCTTTCCGAATGGCTGACCTTCGTTGGTCTTTTCGACAGCCTAGTGGACGCCCGGAGTGACCTGACCCCGAGCCAAAAGATGGTGTACCTCCTGGCCTCACTGGAGGGGGAGGCCCTGGGCGTCGTCGGCCACTTGAGATTGTCGGACGACGCCTACCAGACTGCTCGGGAACTCCTAGCCAGAAGATACGCCAACGTCCGGCGAATTGCGGACGAACATGTTAAGCAGCTTCTAAGACTCCCGCTGCTTAGTGACTGGGCCAGACTACGTCCGGACCTGTTGGATCCAGTCTTAGTGGCCTGTAATACGTTGAGGCGGCTGGAATTACCAGTGGGCGAATGGGCTTTTTTGTTGCTCTGCATCGTGCTGTCCCGTCTACCTCTCGACCTTCGAATCCATTTTGAGGAGAGGTACGGCGGGGACGAGGCCTCCTATATTCCGCCCTTCTATGACCTGCTGCGGTTTTTGGAGGAGCAGTGCCGGCAGATCGAGAACGCGGCGGGCACCGTTGACGACTTACGAGACGTGCCCAGTGAGAGTCTGAACCCGCCAGGCAAGTCGTCGTCAACCTCACCCTGCTCCTATTGTCGAGCATCTGATCACCGGGTAACGTCATGCCCGAAATTATTAGGTAAGCCGGTTCCGGCGAGGCGAACTATCGCCAAGGGGCGCCGCTGGTGCTGCTCATGTTTGGAAGGGCACCTCCAGCGAGACTGTCCACATCGGCGGCCCTGTCTGCATTGCCAGGGCAATCATCATGTGGTTTTGTGCCTGGGTGCGAACGGCGTATCCTCTCGGGCCTCTGCCAGGCCCTCGACCCCCACGGGCGGGGGCGCTCAGCCACGCCCTCTGCCGGGCGGCTCTCGGCGCCCGCCGGCCGGCCACCGGGCCCCCAAGTTTGAAAGGGGCCCCTCCCCCGACCAGTCGGGGGGTAATTCCCCCAGGGGCGGGGGTGTCATGACCCCCCCTCAGCGGGTGGAGAGGAACTTCACGGCCACTCATCGGTCCGCTGGACCCTTCTCACTCCCGTTAGCTGACTGGCCGCGACTGATGTATCACTGTTCCATATTCGATGGAGGCGGCCCTAACTAGCTGCCGCCTTGGCTCCCACCACGGCCACCTCCACTGAGCCTTAAGCCGTCAACAGTCCACTTGTCAAAATGTTCTGTTGCCGACGGCCTCAGTGAAGGCGTACAACCCGAGTGGCGACTGTTAGCGGTTGTGCTCGATTGATCCCGGGTTCACCCCATGTGGCCTTCTCATGGTGGTGAGAAGATTGGGGCCCCTCTGGAGCATTGAATCACGCTGTTAAGGGGTATTAGATTTGGTTGGTCGAGCACTTAGTCAAAAAATACTTGAATTAAAATTAAAAAATGGTTTGGGCTTTCCGCGAAATTTTCCTATTTGTAGCGGTTTAAATTAAAAGAATTGAATTTAATCTACTCCTTTAAATGCTATTGCATGTGTTTTGTACATATATTTAATCACTATATTTGATTGTTGCGTCTGTTTGCTGAAAGGAAATTGAAAGGCGCGCTATTTGAAAAATTATGTATATGTTTATGATAGTGTTTAATCATTTTGCTTTGCGAAGAAGTAGGGCTGTCCCTTACGTTATTGTTTTATTTAATTTGCAAGTTGAACTATGCGCATCGGTGATTAATTTGGTTGAATTGATTCTGTAGTTGAACATTGATGCTTTTGAAAAATTAGTTGAAATATGAGCATAGGACTATTTGTCTAACAGGCTAGCTAGTTTTGGGATTATCAGATTGAAATCAGCTGCCGCACTATTTTAGTAAATGATAATATGGTGGGTGGCCTGGCTAGGCCTACTTGTTGAAAATTCATACTAGGGACTATCTGTGCATTTCGTTCGACGCTCCACAGACGACGTTCATGTGGAATTTGTGGGTGCGCTCTGCACTGAAGCAACTGCTGGCACAAAATTTGTCTGGACAGCTTCGTGTAGCGTCGCTGTTTGCAGAGCTGATCCGGTCGGATTGCGGAACTAATCATAGGGGCCCAGATAGGTGTTTGAAAGAGGTCGTCGGACTTCTGTCCAGTACAGGACTTGTTAAATTGCTGCGATGCCCAGGAGGGGCATCCAGTGGAGGCTGACCCTCCGGCTTGCCACAGGGCTATTTTTTGAGGCGCTGGTTAGGGTTGCAAGATCTGATGGGGTGCCTAAGGTGGCCTAGTTTGGTTGTAGATTCGGTCTTGCAACTTGCCTTCGCGACCTTGTCCTGCTGACCGGTTTGCTCGCGGACCTAAATCCTTATGTCCTGGACGGGGGTTTGTTTGCGCCAAACACTTTCAAGGATTGACGCGAGAGGGCGCTCGGCGCGGTGCATTCATACCGGTTTGACTTTCGGTCATGCGAAAAACGCCCAAGGGCAGTCAGTCATCTTTAAGCGGTGCTGACGTGAGCACGCGTTCAATTTTGTTAGGGAACTCGGAATAATTAGGAGCGGCCCGTAAATATACGGTCTAGGATTTGTGACGCGTATTCCTAGCTGGAGAGCTTCCCAGGGACTTATTGGGTCCGACTCAGAATCTGTATAAGTGCATTCGGCAATATTAGCTAGTGCGGCCTGATATTCTAGAACTAACTGTTGCTACGCGAAACGGTAGTGACCTTTGATCTGTAAATTCCGTGTGCGTTTTGTGAGTTAACCTTATACCCAGCGATAGTTAGTGGCTTCTGTAAGTTAGTAAATCGTACGATAGAGTTAATTGACTGTCATCGTGACGAAAGAAGAAAGTGACTGTGGACAACCTCGGAAGGCCCCCTCAAGTTGGAGCAGTGTCGACGCTCGGGCTGCTACCGACGGCCAAGGTCTAGGTTCAATCACCATCAGTCACACCCAGATACACATCACATCACTTATTTCCCTTTCACTACACAACCACATGTGACCTGACCGACTCCGAAGGGACCAGTCGCCTTGGATATAGGTAAGTAAGCTTCGCCTAATTCCTCTGCCGATTGACTGGCCGTAGTATAGAACGCTCCCCCATATATTTAGTGTAATTAGAGAGATTCCACGTGGCCACATTAAGGCCCGACCTACGTCTGCTCGGGAAGTCTTCTGCTCATGGGCCCCAGAGGATTGGATCCTTTAAAGGAGCAGCCGTAGGCCGTAACAAAGCTAAATAATAAGGTCTAATATACGTAATTGTCAAAAGTTATATTAAAACAACAACAAATCAGTTAATATTTTCACATCTTGCGACAACTTCATTAAGGAAAACAGTTTTTAATTTATTTTTTAGTGTTCGTTTACTTATTCTAGTATTATCTTCTCTCAGCCAATCGATATTATTGAAAAGTATAGGGGTCATATATTTGTTGGTTCTTTTGCCATAGTAATTTTTTACTGGTGGTCGCGCGAGTTTACGCTCTCTAACGCTTCTAGTATTGTACCTATTTTGCACTTGTACTTTAAACTGGTCGTTATAGAACTGTTCTAGAACCAACAGGTACTTGACCTTTTCATGTACAGGAAGCACCTTACAGACAACAAATAGTTTTTCATAATTTTCTTTACAGGCAAGTTTTGTTTGTGGGCTAACAACGTATTTCATAAAACGAATTTGCAGCGATTCTATACTGTTAAGATATGTTTTAAATGTACGGCCATACGTGTTCAATCCATATGTTAGCAATGACTCAGCGAGAGCAAAATAAAGGACACGCAGCGTTTTTCTACTCAATGGCGCCTTCAGGATATAAAACTTATTCAACACTGCCCTTGCCCACAAGCTTTGTACACACTGTGTCAACCTGTGTTTTCCAATTCATGTTGCGGTCCACCCACAGACCCAGATACTTAAATTTGCTGACATATTCTAGCTTTTGACAAACACAATTTACATTTTTGACGTGCATACACTCATACGTGTGACCCACGATACCTATATCCACGCTCTTGACATTTTTTGCCACTAAGTTGTGCGGTGAATACAGATGCATCACTTTCGTCTTATTAAGGTTGAGTATAATACCATTATCGTGAGCCCACCGGATAATACTATCGAAGTCAGCCTGTCGCACAGCCCTGATCTCTTTTATATTCTTAGAGGAGTACATAAGGCACATGTCGTCCGCGTACATATACACCCGACATTTCTTCACCACATTAATGACGCTATTGACATGCATAACGAAGCCAACCGGACCATAGACTGAACCAGTCGGAACACCAAGCTGTACCACCACTTCTTTACCAGCAACACCAGAGATGTAGGTCTGTAAGGTTCTGCCACTCAGATAACTCCGGAACCACCTGTTTGTGGGGCCCTTGATTCCACACTCATCCATGGCCTGCAACAGCACCTCATTATCCAAGGTATCGAAGGCTTTTTTATAGTCTATGAACAGCGCCAGGACCTGATGACCCTGGTCGAGACTACTGTTCATATCTTCTGAAAACTTTCATAGTGCTGTTACGGTGCTACGACCATGCCTAAAACCATGTTGTGCATCCGCTAATATACTATTTTGCTCTAAAAATTCGCTAACCTGGCCGACTATCATCTTCTCAACTATTTTATTAATGACCGATAAGATAGCAATCGGTCTATAGTTAGCATACACTGAGTGCGCTCCCTGCTTGTAGATGGGCCTAATTAAAGCTTTTTTGAGTGGGTTAGGATATTCCCCTTTCGACAAACATAGGTTGACAAAGTGCGATAAGACCGGTGAGATCTCATTCTTGATTATTTTTATATCTGTGACTCGAATGCAGTCACTGCCTGGCGCTTTATAACAGCTCAACTGATCGATGACTTTGCACACTGCCTCACTGGTAGCTGGCTTAAAGCGAAATGTTACATCACATTCTCTAACATATTTACTTCTGTCTAATAGTTTAATATTACAATTATGTTTAATAGCAATAATTTCGTTAGTAAATGTATCTGCAAATTGACTACATATATTATACATCGTGTCTTTATTTCCAAAGTGTCTTTTAACAATATCATCTATCTTTGCTTTTTTCCTACCTGTCCAGGTATTAATTTTGTCCCAGATTTTTTTTGGGTCTCCATTACACTTCTTGATTTCTTCCTGCCGATACTCTCTTTAAATATTAATACTACGATTTCTCGCTTTAAATATTAATTTATTAACCTTATTTCTAAATCGTTTGTATTCTAGTCTTTTTATATTATTGTTTGGTGTTTCTTTCCAATCCCTAAATAACCCATCCCTACGCATTAACATTTTATTCAAATCTATGTCTATCAACGGTTGTGTATCCTGTTTTTAAATCTTTGGCATTATAGTCTTACTATTTTTATAAATATCATTGAAAACATTTTCTAAATTACAATACAAATATAACGGACAATCAATAAGCAACAGTTGAGACCAATAGTAATCAGTGATCTGCTTAGCTACTAGCTTATTATTAATTACATACCGAGTGTCCGAGTCCACACTGTCAGTGTAGTGTTGCGTCACATGTAACGGTACAGAGACTCCAACCACGTGATGATCCGACATAAAGCACTCAATAACAAACGAATAGCAGTCTCGCAGCTGTCTTGTTCGCACCCAGAATGATCGATACACGACATTTCTCTTACACCCGCGACGATAACCTCTCGCGTCTCCTCCGTAATCGGTATTACGCACTGTAGGCCTAGTGCACACATGCAGTCCTTATATTTTGACACCAGTTGGCTTTCACTCACTCCTAATAAGTTAATGTTGACGTCACCCAACATGATAATTTCCTCACTCGTTGGGATGTTCTTAATTATCTGCTCGATTTCATCAACGAATAAAAACTTATTTGTTTTTGGTGGTCTGTAGACTGCAATTATATTTAGAGTTGAGTTGTTAACAGTGAGTTTACCATGAAGTCCTTCCAGTGAACTCGTCAGGGTTTTTTGCGCATTGAAAATAAGACATTCCTTGACATAAATAAGCACACCCCCCTCCTCTTGTATTCTCCCTCGTGTTTGCAAATAGATTGTACCCCTCTATGTGGTATAGTGATAGCTCCATCTCCTTAATGTTAACCTCTGTCAACACTAGTATTCCTAACTCTTCAGAGCATTTTTTTACAAAAAATTTCAATTCATTAAAGTTTTTTCTTATCGACCGAATATTTAAGTGTAATATGTGTAAATATATGTTGTTGCTAGATATACTCTGCACCCAGGAGTTCACTGTTTTAAATCTAGTAAATTGACATTCTAATGTGATAATTGCATCGAAACGATCACCTTTTATTTGATGTTAGTTTAGCTCACAGTGTTTACTTCGCACTATGTGTGCGTTAGGCATACAAGTACCAACAACATCTAGCCAGTCGCCGTATTTACATTACTTTCTATATATTTTTCAATATCTCGTTCACTCCTTATTGACATTATTTTTTTCTGTTCATCACTTTTTCTTATGAGTATTTTTCCATCTTGTACCCAAATGTACTTATATGTTTTCTTAAGCTGGTTTTTAGTAACCCATAGAAGGTTCCTTTTATACCTAGTGAGATTCTCATTTATATAAATACGGGTGTCGTTATTTGTACTATAAATTTCACCATTTGTCAAGCGTTTTTTGCGACTTTCAATCCACTTATCACGAGCCTCTTTTGTTCTCAGCGTTACAATTACTGGCAGTGGTTTGTCGACGTTTGGTTTTTCACGACCTACCCTCTCTGCGTGCTCAATCTGACTAATATCCATCTGGAGCTTGTTAGCAATTTGGACTATTATTTTCGCCACATCTTCATTTTCTTTCTTTTCCAGTCCAGACAACTCCACCTTTTTTCCTTGTCTTTCTCTTCCAGCTCGTTCACACGTTCTTCCAGTGCTTTATTGCACTTCACCAAGTATGCATTCATGTTTTCTAAGAATTTTATTTTTGTTTCGGTTGATTTCTGGTACTCCATCAGATTATCATACATTTCTGATACAAAATCAACCAGATCGGCCAGCTCACTCAGCTTCTTCTCCATTTTGTACACCACTTCCATTTTCCTGTTCATATCAGCCAGGATCACTGCAATATCCGGTCCATTAACACTAGGCGAACTAGGATGCGATCCGAGCAGGGAAACACAATCTTCACATTTTTTTTTGAAGGTAGCTCTCGTGACGCACTTTTTATGGAAGACCGCTTCACATGAGCCTTTGCATTTACAATCATCTTTCGCCGTCGACACAGCCTTATTGCATTTCTTACACTTCACCATAATTAATTCTTATGCGATATTGGCAAAACACAATCTTTTAGATATTTATGCACAATTACGTATTTGACTTAGGTGAATCTACGGAAAAAACAGCCGTACGCCAAGCGCGCGCGCACACGATGTGCCTCTATAGGTCCCATAGCGGTAATGCCGACACAGACCGACTCATCGACCACGTCCAAATGGCTGCAGAATCCGTGCTACAACAGGTCCCATCCGCAGAGATCGTGATGCTCGGTGATTTCAACGCCCACCACGCTGAATGGCTTGGTTCTCGTTTAACGGATCATGCAGGTAGATCTGTCTATGACTTTGCTTTGGTATAGGGTCTAATACAACAGGTTACTTCGCCTACGCGGATCCCAGATCTGGAAGACCATGTACCTTCCCTGTTGGACCTTCTGCTGACCTCTCATCCGGACGGATATCAGGTCTCCGTCGATGCCCCTCTGGGGTCTTCGGATCATTGTCTGATCCAGAGTACGGTGCCTCACGGTACTCACGCTCCAATCGCAGTTGCGATCTGCAGCTTGCCGCCGTGTTAGGCACTATAGGTCAGCTGATTGGGACAGGATGCGATCTTTTTCTGCATCCTACCCTTGAGGCCGGGTTTGCATCTCGCCGGAAGATCCCAGCGTTGCTGCCGATTCTGTTGCTGATGTGGTACTTCAGGGTATGGAACTTTTTCTTCCATCCTTTGTGGTGCCCATCGGAGGCAGATCCGCTCCTGTAAAATAGCACCACGCTATAAGCAGGAGTGCTACCGGGCCTGGGCTGACGCATCAACTTCTCGGGATGTAAACACCAGCGCACATAAAAAGAAGTATAATTCCGCATCCAGGTCCTTCAAAAGCGTCATTGCCAAGGCAAGGTCTGAGCACATCGGCAGAATTGGCGAGAAGCTAGTTCGCCTTCCTTCGGTAATCCGTGCATTCTGGTCTCTCGCCAAGGCTGTCCAAGGGAACTTCTGTCAGCCATTTCTTTCATCTCTACACAGAGAGGACGACTCACTGGCCCATGGCGCAAAGGAGAAAGCCGATCTGTTGAGCTCTCTTTTTGCGTCCAACTCGACTCTAGATGACGGGGGGAACACACGGCCGACCATCCCGCGATGTGAGTGCTCCATGCCGGATGTGCGATTTACACAGCGCTCGGTTCGCAAAGAACTCTTCTCCCTGGACGTCAGCAAGTCGAGTGGGCCCGATGGACACGCTGTGCTGAACCATCCCATTCCAACCAACCATCCCATTGTGCTGAACACGTGTGCTCCGGAGTTGGCACCGGTTTTAACGCGTCTTTTCCGGTACTCCTACTCCCAAGGCGTAGTCCCGAATTCATGGAAGACAGCTTTGGTCCACCCGATCCCTAAAAAAGGCGACTGCTCAGACCCGTCCAACTACAGGCCTATCGCCATCACCTCCTTGTTCTCCAAAATAATGGAATCCATTGTAAACTGCCAGCTCATAAGGTACCTTGAGGATCAACAGCTGATTAGTGACCGCCAGTACGGTTTTCCTCGGGGTCGATCAGCTGGTGATCTTCTAGTCTACTTAACTCATAGATGAACGGAGGCAGTAGAGTCCAAGGCCGTTAGTTTGGACATAGCGAAGGCCTTCCATCGGGTCTGGCACAAAGCGCTTCTTTCGAAGCTTCCTTCCTATGGGCTTCCCGAAAAATTGTTTAAATGTATCACCAGTTTCCTTGCTGATCGGAGCATCAAGGTCGTAGTAGACGGTGCATGCTCTGATTTCAAGCCTATCAACGCTGGTGTTCCACAAGGCTGCGTGCTATCACCAACGCTGTTTCTCCTGCATATCAATGATATGCTGCTAACTGGTAGCATTCATTGCTATGCGGACGACAGCACTGGTGATGCCTTATATACCAGCCGTGCCAATATTTCTCGGGAAAACGTCGCCGAGTATCGGGACAAACTTGTGTCTGAAGTCGAGTCTTTGCTTAACAAACAAAGAATACCGGCGTGAAGTAGATAGAAGCTCTGCTTCTGCGTTTCGTCTGGTGAGTGCAGGTGGCCGGAGGCCCAATTCCCCCCCCCCCCCCCCCCATCAACATGGTAGCGGAATTACACGATGAAATACCCCAGGAGGGTACCAGTAACACTAGAGAATCCCTCGCTGAGCATCCACGACCATGTTATTCCGATCCTGAGCGTGGGTGCTCAGGCTGCCCCGCGTATTCTGGGGGGGGG